GTAGTTAGATACATGTCTGATTTAAAACAACACAAATAAGGACCGTGATTAAACATTAGGGTGAGGAATAATGTCTGACGTTTTGACTCTGTGTAGAGATAGCCTGCCCCTTTTCATATGTCATGAGGTGGAGTCAAGATGCGAAGAGATTTGTTACTTGATGTGTTTCCGGGGTATGGACACTGTTTAGCTTATGTCTCTTGGAGGCAGATTAAAACAAAAGCTAATCAGTCCACAATTGTGTCCAGATGATTTTGTATGGCTCACTCAAACATTCACATGTCATCATTATTAACTGGTGTTAGATCTAAACAGGTAAAGGGTAAAGAACACTGCTTATTTTTTAACATGACTGTGCAGGATTTGTGGCCCATTCTTCTTTACATCATTGTCTCAGTTCAATGAGATTAGCAGACATTTGGTTTTACACAGCTCTGTTAATGTCCCGATAAATAATTTCATTTAGATCTGGACTTTGGCTGGACACAGCGCCTTTTGATTCTTTACTTTTTGAGTCATTATGTTTTGTATTAGTAGCTGTATTTGAAATTATTGTCTTTTGTTTAACAGTCAAGTTTAATTCAAGCTTCAGCTGTTGATCCTCTGAGGTCGAAGCCCCCTCTGGAGCGGGCTAACGTGATGCATTAAAATGTCTTCTGTTATAAACATGACAGCATGCTGAACATTCATTTCAACTAGATTGGATAGCACGGACTTCAAACTTAATAAAAAAGTGTTTTTTATTGATACTGTTTTTATTTACTTCCAAATAAAACAAGATTTATGATACATAATTTTGTCATCATTTTTCATTTTTACGCATCGCTGCGCATTAAGTGAACATTTTGTGACCACAAACTGACTGAATGCAACAAGACAACAATTTTTTGGATTTTATTAAACACACCACATTCATTATTATTATTATTATTATTATTATTATTATTATTATTATTATTATTATTATTATTATTATTATTATTATTATTATTATTTCATTTATTCATTTCATATAAAAATAAAAATGTTATACACAATAAAGAAATAAAATCACACTTGAAATGAAAGGAGGCAGAACGAAGGAAAAAATCTTATATCTGCCACTTTTTTCCAAAATTAATTTCAAACAATAATGATCAAAAAACAAAACAAAATAAAAACTTCAATTTCCAGCAGCCAATCAAAAACGTTTCTCAGAAAAAACTTGAGGAAAGCGAGCAGGAGCCGCCCGGTAGGAGAAAGTTTTGGAGAGTCGAAGAGGACCAAGCGTAATGGACACTTTGGATAACGGATTTAGCTAGCACTATTTTTGGTTTGCTTGTATAAGTGTGTTAGAGTGCATGAGTTTGTGTGCAGTGTGTGTAGTAGTTTTGTTAATCTGTCTGTCAACATGAATCGTCGTTATGCGGCAGGGCAAGATGGCGGAGGAGTGACTGTGCGTCGCGTGGGCTCCCGCTCTGACTTATTCTGTTTGTGGTTCTGTACTAAATGTCCTTGCTGTTTTGAACATTTGGTCCGTCCGGACTCAACCCCTGAGTGATTCTTGCCTGAAAGAGTAGAAGAATGGCGACAAACTCGAGGAAAGTCAAACATTCAAGCTCGACGGCTGTTAGGCCCGATGCCGCCCCGGAGCAGACTGCAGCTAGGACCGGACTTTCAGCGCCCCCCTCTCCCTCCCGCAGTGAGGCGGACGCACTCTCCTTGAAGTCTGACATTCTTGCCGCTATAAAAACCGATCTCTCAGCTGTGATCAAATCCGAAATAAAAGCGGCTTTGGCTGAAGAGTTTACTCTTATTAAAGGAGAGCTATAAGCGGTGAGAGCGGAGGTGGCTAACGGCACGATGCTACTGCACGCAGATCTGGACCACGTGAAACAGAGCGTTAAAGAGGTGGAGGACAGCTTGTCAACCTGGTCCGAAGAGGTTGTTTCTCTGCGCACCACCGTGTTGGAACTGAAAGAAGAAGTCGGTGGGCTCAAAAAGAAGTGTGACGATATGGAAGGGCGCATGAGAAGGTGCAATGTGCGGATTATTGGAGTTCCTGAAACGCCAGAATCCAGCTCCACTTGTGCATCTATTGTTCTGAGAAGTGGACAGAGATGCAGAACATATGCTGCTGAGATTTGTTGTTTATGGAGCTTTAAATATGTTAGAAATTTAAAGGGTATTCCAATACTAGGAATGGGAGTCTATCCTTCTCCAGTAAGGCTTCCGGTTGTTGACAGGTAGAGAAACATAAAGCTCTATCCAGGTCTACACATCCACACCCACTGTCCTAAATAAATTAATTTTGCCCCTGTCCAATTGTGTATTTATTGTGTGTGTGTGTTCGTTGACAACGTTTCGGCTTTATTGAGCCTTCATCAGGTCTGAACACACAAGACTGACTGCCGTCTCCTCTGAGCTCGGTCTTATATATACACTCAGTGGCTCCTCCCACTTTCATTTTAGGCACCAGTTTAAACCACAAGGTAAGTACAACACTTTATTTTAGGTTTACAGTTCCAAACACTCTCCGGTTAATTTATCAGCAAAGTAATGCCACTTTTCTCCTTTTTTCAGGTATCCGGTTCTCCACAGAGTTTCCTGTCAATACCTCAGGTAAGTAAACACACTTTTAACAGACAAATTACCAAATAGTTATGGATCCAAATAAGCCCAAAGGTAAGTAAATCCACTTCTCCTTATAGCTCTCTGGTTCAGGTAAGTAATTTTTAAGCGCCAATTAAAATTTAAATAATGGGGGTCCAAATGGTTAATATGAGGGCCAAATTTTACGGAACAACCCTAAGATTAAAGGTATTAATCGGTTTGGCACTGAACATAAAGTTTCCTCATACGCAGATGATACTTTCTTTTTATCTCAGATCCCTTCTCTAGTGTTCCTGAGTTACTTCTTTTACTTCAAAAGTTTGGAAACATATCTGGGTATAAGGTTAACCTTCAAAAAAGTGAATTGATGCCTGTGACCCCAATAGAAGAGCAGCATATGGGTCCAGTTCTTTTCAAAATTAGCTCTGCCAAATTTAAATACCTTGTTATTTGGACTACTAACAGTCACAAAGATCTTTATACAGCAAACTCTTGTGGTGAACCTTAAGAAGGACATCGCTACATGGGCATCCCTGCCTCTATCCCTGGGGGGTAGAATCAACGTGATTGAAATGACAATACAGCCCAAATTACTTTATCTATTTCAGAGCGTGCCAGTGTTYCTCACCAGGACTTTCTTTACAAATTTAAATAGGGATATGTCATCCTTTATTTGGAATAAAAAGCATCCACGGATAGCCAGTAAGATGTTACAGCTACCCCATGGTCTTGGTGGCTTGTCACTCCCCAACTTTTTATATTACTACTGGGCGGCCAATATTAGAGCCGTACTGTAAAGGCTGAGAGACGACAACCCTGTCCCTACTTGGGTAAATCTAGAGAGGAAATCAGTTTCGGCGAGCTCTCTGCTTTACTTTGCTCCCGGTTACCGTTTAATCAACCTATCTCAACTTATACTTCTAATCCGGTTGTAACTCACACAATAAAAATCTGGAATCAGTGCAGGAGGTTGTTTAAAAGTACAGAATTAATATTGTCTGCTCCAGTATCAAATAACTATATGTATGCTCCTTCACTAATGGACTCTGTTTTCAATACTTGGAGTTTAAAGGGAATAACTTCTCTAAATGATCTTTATATAGACAATAAGTTCACCTCATTTGAACAGTTAGCACAGAAATTTGACATCCATAAGTCACAGTTCTTCAGGTATTTACAACTGAGACATTTTGTAATGTCAAACTCTGGATGTTTTCCTCTAAGCCCCCCAACTTCTCTTGTAGATGAGATTCTGATGTGTAAGTCTGTAACAAAACGCTCTATGAGCAGAGTTTATTCTCTGCTCAGCTCATTTTCTGACTCCAATTTAGATTCTTTGAAGG